CATTTTTCTTTCCGCTTCAAATTAAGTCCATCTTTTGTAAAACAGAACAATGAGCGGCAAACCAATTTAATAAATAAAATTAAATCAATAAAACATTGTATTTCACCATAAGTCCACCAAATGGTTTTATTATCATTGCTTTTGTAAAATAATGCTTCTTAGGGCAACAACCCAAAAGCTATTTTAGGAGAAAGCTTTGTTTTGTATTTAATTCTAAACTCTTAGCATGGCATAACATAACAATTCTTAAAATTTGCACTCCCTTTGGCTTTATCAGACTACCACCTTAATTTAATATTTGATCGTATATTGTACTATTTAGGTATAAATACATGATATTTACATACACACACTTGTTTAAATAGAGCATCAGAAAATAAATATATTTAGACTGTGTATACATACATACATACAATGCACTCATACACACTGCTGATGCTCTATTAGTCTACATCTTTGTGCAGTATGTATAATGTGTTTTTTTATCGTTTTATATCAGTGATTGCATGTTCTCTGTAGATATCATACACTAAATAAAACAATGAAATAATCATGTCACAAATAGGTGTGCCTCTCAAATCTCAAATCATGGCACTCCAAATTTAAAACCTCTTATTGTTCAAGCTCACTCATCCTCCGTCCAAACAAAACAGCAAGACTCAAAATACAATTTTAAATCTTTAGCATCCTGCAACACTTATATTTAATTCTCGGGTTTTTTCCCCTTGCCTTTTAACTTAGAAATATCTTTCTGCCATCGTTTAAGGAAAACACCCATAATCGGATATTGGTAATGTCAGGAATAAAAACAAGATCTTAGGTAAAACATTCATCTTGATTACAAAAATTCTACCTGGCAAAGAAAGTCGTAATTACAACTTTAACACTTTTTAAAAATATTTCCAGTCCCATAATTGTTCTCTTTCATAATTTTAATTTTTTTTTAATAACTTAGAATTTGTATTAGTTGATATAACTCCGTGGTATTTCCCTTTTTCCCCTCCACTTTAAAATCTGAGTTTCTCATCCGTATTTACTGATCCTGTACAGTCCTATTCTTAACCAAGAGTTTTTAATTTTGTTTATTTATCTTAAAACCAGCCAAAGCTTCAGCTTCTTCATTAAATATTATCCCATTTTGTGGGTCTTGTAAAATCAAAACTAAATAGTTGCAAAGACTCTTTATTTATACGTTTCATTTTTAATATTCAAACCCAATTTTTCCTCATCCCATCTAACGTCTCTAGTCAAAACTTCCAAACTAAAAAAAAAAGATATCCTTGTGTTGTACCCTTTTGAAGCGCACAAAGCTTGGTGAATTCTCCATTAACAATAATATCAGGCTGCCGAGATGTACAAACCAACTTATTTCATTTTTTAAAATTTATTTATTCAACTTATATACCACTTTAATTGCTTGAGTAAAATTCTCCATATCTAGAGAAGTTCGTTTTTTCCAAAACTTTACACATGGAGAAAAATTCAAATTGTCAAAATATTTCTCCGCATCCAAAAATATTAACGTTGCTTGTTTTTCAGGTAAATGTTGTTCTTATTGTAAATATTCAATAACATCCAGACATTCTTTAGCTACCTTTTCAGCAAAAATCCAAAATGATCTTCATGAATAAAAATTTGCAAAACCTTCTTCAATCTTTCAGCCAATCTGGCAGTAAAAGGCTTATCATGGTTGTTGAAGGATGAAATTGGTCTGTAGGTTTTTTTATTGTTAAATTTTGACCTTTTTCAGCAATAAATTCATATAAGACTGAGGCATTTATTCAAATTGGAGTCAAAATGATAAAAGGACCAAAACACCTTGATTTTTGCATGTATCGTTTTTATTTGTCTGCTTGCTTCAAGGCAGCTCAACCTTGCTTGCTTCCATTATTTCTTTATTATTTCATTAAAAATGCAGCTTGGTAGTCGTAAGATATGGGAAATTATGATTTCTCATCCAGGGAAGACCGAGGACAATAGTTCATTCTTCCTAAACAACAGCAACAACTGATGAACAATCTGGACTCATAATGCTGGGATCTTTTGTAAAACTAAGCAAATACATTTCCAGCCTGCAAAAAGGCAGGGTCCAGCACTGCTGGCAATTTTCAGCTGGAAAAATTACAAGGCGCAGGATCTGTTTGTTCTTTCGGCTGTTTTTTTTATTATGGTTTGATTTATTAAATCTAGATTTCAGTGCTCAATGGCCAAATTGGTTCGTAGTCCTGGTAATTTATTCAATATTGCTGGTGGTGTTTATTTGGTAATTTTTAAAAAGCCCAATTTTGAAAACGTACATTTTTTTAAAAAAAAAAATTCTTTGTAGCCCAGTGAAAGGAATTGGGATTTCAGCTGGCTGGGAAGGAAGAACAGAGTTTTAAATTTGATTTTCGTTCAGAAAATGAAGGAGCCAACCATTTGTCTGGAATGGAATAGGGTCTCCTGTTTGAGTGGGGGGTGGGGGTGGGGTTGGACTAGAAGACCTCAAGGTCCCTTCCAGCTCTATTCTGATTGATAGAAGATTGATTGATTGATTGAAACCCCCTTCGGCTGCAAGGACAAGCCAAGGAGCTTCCATAATTAAGCCGGGATTAGAGGGTGGATTTTCCTGTGTAACACGACCCCCCAACCTCGCCCTCTGGACTGCTTAGGGGGAGAAGCCCAGCTGAATTCAGCGGGAGCAGACCGTGTGGGTCGGAAGGAAGCCTCATCTTCACTTTGGAACTGCTGATTTTGCCCCGCAAATCTTCCAGGAGGCTTGGAGAAGCTGCTTAGAAGAAGACCCTTTCCTTTGGTGGATGGGACTTCTGTCCACAGAAAGGACTACTTCTCATCTTCGTGTCGCAGTGCAGCCAAATTACTCCATGACAAAGAAAGGCTACGTTCCTCTCACAGCCTCTAGTTGGCCTTTCTTGCAGCCCATATTTATCGTGATAGCTTGGATGATGTTCCCTAGTTTGGTCATGAAACGTCTGCAAGAAAGCCACCAAGCTTAGAGAGCACCAAAGACCCCACAGTCATCGTCCTTCTCCTCCTCCTCGTCGTCCTCCTTCTGTTCGCAAACCTCACTCCCTTCTAGCACTGATAATCTTACCTAGTTTGATAGTGAAATGTATACAAGAAAACCACCAAGCTTAGAGAGCACCAAGGACCCCACAGTTCTCCTCCTCCCCCTCCTCTTGCCCCACCTCCTCTTCCTCTCCTCTCCACACACAGACACACACACACAACCACTCCCTTCCAGCACTGATGGTGTTACCTAGTTGGGTCATGAAACGTCTGCAAGAAAGCCACCAAGCTTAGAGAGCACCAAGGACCCAACAGTCATTGTCCTCCTCCTTCCCCTCCCCGTCCTCCTCTCCACAAACCCCACTCCCCCTTAGGCACTGATAATCTTACCTAGTTTGGTCATGAAATGTCTGCAAGAAAGCCGCCAAGCTTAGGTAGCACCAAGGACACCCCCCTCCTTCTCCTCTTCCTATTCTCAGCAAACCTCACTCCCTTCTAGTACTGATAATCTTAGCTAGTTTGGTCATGAAATGTCTGCAAGAAATGTCTGCAAGTTTGGTGTTCCTTTATGTGTGTGTGATTTTGTTTTTTCAAAGCTCTGCGGCCACACTGCCCCTCTCACGCACCGTGTATTTGTATTTGCCTTGTACTGATCAGTCTCCCCTTTTGGGGTAGACGTTTCAAACAGAGGAGAAGGAGAGACGCTCGGCTGGACGATTAAAACCAGGCTAATTGAGCATCCAGGTTAATTGGAGTGTATTAACAGGTTTGTTTCTGTTTTGATGCACGGCAATTTACGCAGAAGCTGGGCACCTGTACCAAAGGGGTGGCATGCATTGCCAAAAGCTAATAATGTAAGGTAAAGGGGGTTTGTGTATCTAAGGAGATTTCAAGTGAGTCGGTGCACAAGGTGGTGATTGGGAAATAATGGCAGCTGCGATCTAAGATATCTGGATGTTTGGGAAAAGGAGCAAATCGGACCCCTCTCTGAATGTCTGTGTGTGCATGTGTGAATGTGCCTTTGAGTCAGTTTTGACTCCTGGGAATTGCCTCGAAAGGCCCCTGCAGCTTTCCTGGCATGGTTTTTTCATTTTTCACACATTTTTTAGAAGCGTCAGGTCGCTAAAATTGCATTCTTCAGGAATGGCTTTTGCCACCGAGCATGCAGTGCCCTCTTCCTGCCAGCAGGGGTCTCTTTGGGCGAAGGCGGGGCGCAGATTTCTCTCTCCCTTCCCCTCCCCCCCCATTATTCAGTAAATGCGACGTTTCTAACCCACAAATTTAATCAGCAAACCCCAAAGTCAAGATTTCATATACATATAAAGTCTAGCAGTGGTATCCAAGCAGAAACAAACCTGGATTATTTTAACTCGCTGATTAAAATCATTAATTTTCCCATCCCTTTTCCCACCGTTCTTCCATTGTGGGAATGGACGTCTCTTTCCATTTTTGCCCGTAAAGAATTCTCGCTGCAGTCAGCATATATGCAATATCAAAGCTCCAGATTTTTTTCCCCAAGCTCCTTTCCAGTACAGGGGTCCTCGAGTTACAACAGTTCATTTAGTGACCGTTCTCCCCAGCATCCCCCCCCACGGTCACGTGATCAAAATTCAGCCGCCTGGCAACTGGTTCGTATTTATGACGGTCGCAGTATCCCAGGGTCATGTGATCCCTTTTTGTGAGGGGGAAGCCAGACTCACTTAGCAACCGTGTTACCAACTTATCCACTGCAGTGATTCACTTAACAACAGTGGCAAGGAAGGCCGCAAAAGGAAAGGGGCAAAACTCACTTAACAAATGTCTCACTTAACAACAGAAAATTTGGGCTGGAGGATTGCCTGTAATCCTAAGAGGAAAAATATCCATTTTAGGCTAATTTTCAGAATCTTCTGCGTTGGATTGGGCCCCGTTATTTCTTGGCTTTACCGTCACAGGCCCAGGGAAGCTGTGAAGGGGAAGAGTGACGCGTCTGTCTTTGTTGGTTCCTCCAGATGCGAAAGGGACCATCCGGGAGATCGTCCTTCCCAAAGGCCTGGATCTGGACCGGCCCAAGAGGACCCGCACCTCCTTCACCGCAGAACAGCTGTATCGGCTGGAGCTGGAATTCCAGCGCTGCCACTATGTCGTGGGCAGAGAAAGGACAGAATTAGCCAGGCAGCTCAACCTTTCGGAGACCCAGGTAAGAGAGGGAGGGAGGGAGGGAGGGAGAAAGAGAGAGGGGGAGAGAGAGGGACAGAGAGAGGGAGGGAGGGGAGAAAGGGGTGGAGGGAGGAGAGAGAGGGAGAGGGAGGGGAGAGGGAGAGAGAAGGAGAGAGAGAAAGGGACAGAGAGGGAGGGAGAGAGAAAGAGGGATGGAGAGGGGGAGGAAGAGGGACAGAGAGGGAGAGAGAGAAAGAGGGAGGGACAGAGAGAGGGAGGGGAGGGGAGAAAGGGGTGGAGGGAGAGAGAGAGGGGAGAGGGAGAAAGAAGGAGAGAGAGGGAGGGACAGAGAGGGAGGGGGAGGGAGAAGAAAGGGAGGGAGAGGGAAAGAAAGAGGGAGAGGGAGAGATAGGGGAGAGGGAGGGAGAGAGAAAGAAAGAGGGAGGGGGAGGGAGGGAGAGAGGGAGGGGAGAGGGAGGGAGAAAGAAAGAGGGGGAGGGACAGAGAGAAGGAGGGAGAGAGAAAGAGGGACAGAAAGGGGGGGAAGTGGGACAGAGAGAGGGAGAGAGAAAGAGGGAGGGACAGAGAGAGGGAGGGAGGGAAGAAAGGTGGAGGGAGGAGAGAGGAGAGAGAGAGAGACAGAGGGAGGAGGAGGAAGAGAGAGAAAGAGAGAGAGGAGAGGGGAGAGGGAGAGAAAGGAGAGAGAGAGAGAGAGAGAGAGGGAGGGAAAGGGGAACAGAGAGGGTGGGGGTGGGACAGAGGGAGAGGGGAGAGGGGGAGGGGGGGGGACACTCGGCCATAACATCCCTTGGGCTTCCACAGCTTGCATCTCTGGTGGCTTCAGCACTTTTTGTCCTTTTGTGCTCTGAAGAAGACCTGATGGTCTAGAATGATCAGGGCAGTTTCAGAGGGCAAGAAGGAATGGACCTCAGGGATTATCCCAAATGTGATTTTTTCCCAAAAGGCAACTGGACTTTCTTGGGGTTTTTTTGCTTTAAAATGTTTTGCTTCTCATCCAGGAAGCTTCTTCAGTTCTGACTGAATGGTGGGGAATGGAAGGATTTACATTCCTTGCAGTCCTCTGGTTGTTAGTCCTCTCTCTGAGAGCCCTTGATTCAGAATCCCCTGAATCGGAGTGCAAATTTATTTATTTATTTATTAAATTTATATTGCCGCCTATTCGCCCATGGGGACGCAAGGCGGCTCACAGAATATAAAATCTCATTTAAAACAATAAAACTAATAAAAAGAATCAAACCAATTAATATAGTATAATATAATAAAATAATCCCCACCTCACCCCAGTGACAGCAGATCAGAGGAGCCACTTAATGGCCTCCATCCCGGGCCCGCGGACAGAGCCAGGTCTTCAGGGCCATCCAGAAGAGGGTTGGGGTGGGGGCCGTTCTAATCTCTGGGGGGAACGACCTTCCAGAGGGAGGGAGCCACCACGGAGAAGGCCCTTCTTCTGGATCCCGCCAGATGGATCTCTTTAGCAGACGGGATCTGCAACATGCCTTGCCTCCCTGCTCTAGAGGGTTGGGAAGATGTGACCGCAAGAGACGGTCCCTCAGATGCCCGCGGAGCCTTCTTGGAACTGCCGAAAGGGCTGCGCTGTGAACAGGAGATGGGGAGGGGGTGTCGTATCCCTCCCCCACGGTTGAGAGAGGGCTGCTCCATTTTAACCCACATGGCCTCTTTGACCCCTCTTTCAAACCAGCAGCCCTCTCTGGCCAGAATGTGGACTTCAAAGGAGAAAAAAACCCCAAGAAAGTCCAGCCTTTTGCAACATCATCCGTTCCATCTGAGGCTGGTAGGTTCACTCAGGAGGTGTAGGCAGCCTGCAACGTCTGTTTGCACGGCGCACAATTTGTGGCTCTCTCAATGACCCTGGCTGGACCTTCTAATGGCTGCTGGAAACCAATCAGAACAGATCTCTCTGTGGAGACTCTCCATCGTCCAGGGTCATCACGGTTTCTTCGAAAGGCAACTGGACTCCCTTGGCTGTTTTTTTTCCTTGAAAAGGTTTTGCTTCTCCTCTAAGAAGCTCGGTTGGGAATGGGGCAAAACTCGCTTAGCAGCTGTCTCACTTAGCAACAGAAATTTGGATTTGGCCTGCTTGCCTGTATTATCACTCCATCATTATTTGCCAGGCAGGCGTGTCTTTCCGACTGCTGTTCCTCTTGGGGACCCTCTTCTCTGCCCCCTCCCCGATCTCCTGGGCGAGAGCAGGCGGCGACCTTGGAAGGAAGATGCCAGCACCGTAGTTAACCCGCCGTGTCAGGGGCCAGGACCTGAGAGGCAAATCCAGCCAGCTGCCACAGGTTCACGTTCCTGCTGAGCCCAGCTGGGCAGGGGAGACTTAGCCAAAGGCCGAAAGGGCATTTCCTACCCACCCCTGCAGGCACCCCCTTCCCGGATCTTCCTCCAAGGACGGGCTCAGCAGGGCATTTCCTGAAGCCCAGAAGTCACCTGAGCTGCTCAGGGCTCTGCTCCAGCATCCCAGGGGGACAAAACCACAGGTAAAGGATCGCTCTGTGGAGGCACACAGGTGGCCTTGAACTGGACTGGAGGCTAAAACATACGATGAACGGTTGCAGGAACTGGGCCTGGCTAGTCTAGGGAAGAGAAGGACCAGGGGAGACAGGATAGCAGCCTTCCAAGATTTGAGGGGCAGCCACAGAGAGGAGGAAGGGGGTCAACCTGTCTTCCAAAACATCTGAAAACAGGACAAGAAGCAACAGATGAAAATTAATCAAGGAGAGAAGGAAAAGAACAGGAGGGAGGGAGTGGAGGCCAGCAAGCCAACCAGCCCAGTTAACAAAAGCTCGGGAGCCCAAGAAACTTGGCAATGTTGGCACCAGCTGCCATGACAGACAGAAAGAGAGGAGTAGGAAGTCTTACAAGGAAGCTGCTGGGAACTGGAGGAAAGAAAGAAAGAAAGAAAGAAAGAAAGAGAAAGAAAGAAAGAAAGAAAGAGAAAAAAAAGAAAGAAAAAGAAAGAAGGAAAGAAGGAAAGAAGGAAGAGGGAGGAAGGGGGAGGGAGGGAAAGGAAGAAAGGAAGGAAGGGCCTTCTCCGTGGTGGCTCCCTCTCTCTGGAATGTCATTCCCCCCGAGATTAGAATGGCTCCCACTCTAATACTCTTCCAGAAGGTGCTGAAGTTGTGATTTTGCCAGTGGGCCTGGGGAGCCCACAGCAGGATGGAGCCCATTAAATGGCTCATGTGATCTGCTGTCACTGGGGCGGGGTAATTTTATTATGTTATATTAATTTATTTGATTCTTTTTATTAGTTTTATTTTTTAAAATGAGATTTTATATTTTATAAGCCACCTTGAGTCACCATGGGCAAATAGGCGGCAATATAAATTAAATACATACATAAATAAATACATAAATAAATACATAAATAAATAAATAAATAAGAAAGAGAAAGAGAGAGAGAGAGAGAGAGAGTGGGGAGGGAGGAAGGAAGGAAGGAAGGAAGGAAGGAAGGTATATACCATGTTCAGCACTATGCTAATCCTTTGCATTCTGGAACATTACCCTCTTTCCTGTTTTAAATTGGCAATTTTTGCCCCCTTCCTCCTCACTTTCTCAGAAGGGTATTTGTGGGACACAGAGAGAGAGTCAGTCTCTGGAGCATCAGCATCCTGGACATTTCCCTCCCTCCCCACCAGGTGCCTTGATTGACAGGAGCCTGGGCAGGAGCCTGGAGCAGACCAGTCCAGCAAGGCCTATGGGAAGACTCCGGATTGATGCAGCTCCGTCAAAGGGGAGGGGGTGGGTCAAAAGATGCTCCCACCTCCAGCAACTGGGCAGGGTTGAGCAGAGAAACTGTCCATTACACACAAACCCCCCTCCCTGACTAGGTCCTGCAACCTCTCTGGCGTCTCTCTCCCCTTTCTGGGAAGGGCTCACAATCCTCCCTGAGCCCCATGGATTGGTGTCATCCGGGACCTATTTTTAGCCTGATAAATCCCAATCAGGGAAGATTGTATCACTGAACGGCCAGCCCCACCAGGTAGGCCAGAGCAGGCAAATCAGGGCCACCAAAAGGCCAAAGCGATTTTCATTCAGGCTGGCCAGAGGAAGAGATTCTGCTGGGCTACTACCACTATTCTTCATATTATTTCCTTTTCCTCCTCCTCCTCCTCCTCCTCCTCCTCCTCCTCCTCCTCCTCCTCCTCCTCCTCCTCCTCCTCCTCCTCCTCCAACCCCCTCCTCTTCCTCTTCTCCTCTCCCTCTCCCTCCTCAGAATACTATCACATTCTGGACTTTAAAAGGTTTCAGTCCCTTTTGCCCAGGGCAATCCCTCTTGTTATCTCGGCCAAGATAATCTCCCTGCAACACAGATCAGTGCTTGGTTCATCTAGAAAACAACCTTCTTCCCTCCCTCCCTCCCTCTCCTTCCTTCCTTCCTTTTCATCCTTCCTTCCTTCCTTCCTCCCTCCCTTCTGTCTCCTTCCTTCTCCCTCCCTCTCCTTGCTTCCTTCATTTTCATCCTTTCTCCCTCCCTCTGTTCCCTCTCCTTCCTTCCCTCCTCCCTCCCTCTCCTTGCTTCCTTCCTTCCTTCATTTTCATCCTTCCTCCCTCCCTTCCCTCTCCTTCCTTCTCCCTCCCCTCTCCTTTCTTCCTTCCTTTTCATCCTTCCTTCCTCCCTTCCCTCTCCTTCCTTCCCTCCTCCCTCCCTCTCCTTGCTCCTTCCTTCCTTCATTTTCATCCTTCCTCCCTCCCTCCCTTCCCTCTCCTTCCTTCCTTCCGTCCTCCCCTCCCTCTCCTTGCTTCCTTCCTCCCTTCCCTCTCCTCCCTTCTCCCTCCCCTCTCCTTCCTTCCTTCCTTCATTTTTCATCCTTTCTCCCTCCCTCTCTCCCTTCCCTCCTCCCTCCCCTCCTTGCTTCCTTCCTCCCTTCCCTTCCCTTCCCTCTTCCTTCCTTCCCTCCTTCCTTCCTTCCTTCTTTCATTTTCATCCTTCCTTCCTTCCTCCCTCCCTCTCTCCTTCCTCCCTCCCTCTCCTTGCTTCCTTCCTCCCTTCCCTTCCCTTCCCTCTTCCTTCCTTCCCTCCTTCCTTCCTTCCTTCTTTCATTTTCATCCTTTCTCCCTCCCTCCCTTCTTTCCCTCTCCTCCCTTCCCTCCCTCCCTCCCTCTCCTTGCTTCTCCTCCCTCCCTCCCTCTCCTTCCTTCCTTCCTTTTCATCCTTCCTTCCTCCCTCCCTCCCTCTCCTTGCTTGCTTCCTTCCTTCATTTTCATCCTTTCTCCCTCCCTCCCTCCCTCTCCTTGCTTCCTTCCTCCCTTCCCTTCCCTTCCCTCTTCCTTCCTTCCCTCCTTCCTTCCTTCCTTCTTTCATTTTCATCCTTTCTCCCTCCCTCCCTTCTTTCCCTCTACTCCCTCTCCCTCCCTCCCTCCCTCTCCTTGCTTCCTTCCTCCCTTCCCTTCCCTTCCTCTTGCCCTCCCTCCCTCTGTTCCCTCTCCTTCCTCCCTCCTCCCTCCCTCTCCTTCCTTCATTCCTTCATTTTCATCCTTTCTCCCTCCCTCCCTTCCCTCTTCCTTCCTTCTCCCTCCCTCTCCTTTCTTCCTTCATTTTCATCTTTCCTTCCTCCCTTCCCTCCTCCCTCCCTCTCCTTGCTTCCTTCCTCCTCTTCCCTCACCTTCTCTTGCCCTCCCTCTCCTTCCTTCCTTCCTTCCTCCTTCCTTCTTCCTCCCTCCCTTCCCTTTCTCCTTCCTTCCTTCCTTCCTCCCTCCCTCCCTTCCCTTTCTCCTTCCTTCCTTCCTTCCGTCCTCCCTCCCTCTCCTTCCTTCCTTCCTTCCCTCCTCCCTCCTCTCCTTGCTTCCTTCCTTCCCTCCTCCCTCCCTCTCCTTGCTTCCTTCCTCCCTTCCCTCCCCTTCTCTTGCCCTCCCTCCCGGCGGCTGAGGAACAGGGAGTTGAAGTCCGCCCACCTTCAAGCGGCCGAGGTGGCGAAGTGTCGGGCTCGGGGTGTGGGCGCTGCTGACCCCTCCTCCCTCCTCCTCCCCCCGCAGGTGAAGGTGTGGTTCCAGAACCGGCGCACCAAGCAGAAGAAGGAGCAGAGCCGCGAGGCGGAGAAGCGCGGCGGCCCGGCGGCCCCCTCGGAGGCCTTCGCCACCTGCAACCTGCTGAGGCTGCTGGAGCAGGGGAGGCTCCTCTCCGTGCCGGCGCCCCCCGCGCTGCTCCCGCCGGCCGCGCCCGCTCCTTCCCCGGGGCTGCCCAGGGCGGAGGCGGAGAGTCCCCGGGCCCCGCTCCCGCTCTGCTTCGCCGCGCCCCTCGCGGGCAGCCTCCGCCAACGGCCCTCCGCCTTCGAGCCCTACGCGCGCCTCGGGAGGAGGGACAGCCCGCCGCGCCGCCACAAGGAGCCCGCCAGCCCCTGAACGCCTCTCCGGCCCCCGCACCGGCTGGGAGCAGCCGACACCACCGACCTCCCCCGGCCCCGGTGGGCGTGGCAGTGGCAGTGGGACCCTTGCACGGAAATATTAAAACCACCGCTCCTGCCAAAGCCGGCTCCCTGCTGTGACTGGGGGGGGGCGGGGGAGGGCTTGGGCACGAGCTGGGGGGGGGGCGTGGGGGTCTTCCTTCCGTGGCGTCACCAAGCCAGAGAGACGCGAGTGGGGGCTGGGGAGGGGACAGAGGCGCCTTTGAGCCGGTGAGAAAGGGGTCGGGGGGCTCAGCCCGCGAAGGGGCTGCAGGAAGGAATCGGCTGTCGGGACAGAATTGGCCAGAAAGTTTAAGGGAGATGCGGGAGCTCTGAAATGATGGTCATTACCTTAGCATCCCCTCCCTCTCTTCCTCCCAGGGCTCCTTCCTTCCTTCCTTCTTTCTTCCCTTCCCTCCCCTTCCTTCCTTTCCCTCCTTCCTTCTTTCCTCTCCAGCTCCTGCATTGCTTCCTCCCTCCCTCTCCTTGCTTCTTTTCCTTTCCTCTCTCCCTTTTCTTTCATTTCCTTCCCTTTCTCCTTCCTTCCCTCCCTCCCCTCCCTCCCTTCTTGTTTTCTTGCTCCTTCCCTTCCTTCCCTTTCTCCCTCCCTCCTTCCTGCCTTCCATTCCTTCCTCCTTTCCTCCCTCCCCCTCCCTCCAGGTGAGAGTCCTAGTCAGAGTCCCAGAACTTGTTCTCACTGCCCGGAGCTCTTGCCGCTGTCCCCCTCCGGCTGGGGATGATGGGCTGAAGGAGGAGGGCTGCAAAGCCAGGGAAGAAACCACCTTCTCACTGATCATCCAGGAAGGATCCAGAGGGCACAGCCAACTGCCTGCCATCCTCAGGGTTGGAACTGTCAGAGTCATTCATTGAAATGGGTTGTGGAAATGGAATGAATGAATTAATGAATGAATTAATGAATGAATGAATGAATATCTCTCAACACCGGTGGGGGGGGAAAGGGAGAGGGTCCCCTTTATCCCTGTTTGACCTTGGGTGTCTTGAGATCGAGGTGCTGACTTCAAATTTTAGCATGATGTATTCATCACAGGTGGATAATCTAACACAAGAGAGAGACACACACAAAACTTTTGTCCCCCTCCAAACATTTTCCACAATTGCTTAAAGCTTGGCAATCCACTTTTCCTACGCACTTGAGGAGAAAAGGTGTGAAACCTGCTTTGAAGAAAACATAAACCTATTTTCTAAAGCAATGAAAGAACCAAACTTATTTAATGATCCTTATTGCTTTTTAATCAACAACGAGTCGTCATGGGGACAACCAGATTTGTGATCTTTTTTGGGGTGGGTGGGTGCTGGTTGTTAAATGAATGCTACCGTTGTTAAATTGTTCATTATGGGGCATTTCTGCCAAAAACCAGATGTAAATACTGTTTTTTTGTTTTTTTTTGCTAAAAACATCCTAAATCAGGGGTCTCCAACCTTGGAAACTTTAAGACTTGTGGACTTCAACTCCCAGCTTTGCTGGCTGAGGAATTCTGGGAGTTGAAGTCCACAGGTCTTAAAGTTTCCAAGGTTGGAGACCCCTGCCCTAAATTACAGTCAGGTCATTGCCGGACACTGAAGTAGCCTTTTCTCAAGGCCTTTTTGGGGAGGGGTCCACCATTGCTTCAAAGGGTCACTAAGTGAGCATTCATAAGTTGAGAACCACTTGTACAAAGTCTACCTCTATACAGGTAGTCCTCGACTTACAACAAGTTCGTTTAGCAACCATTCAAAGTTACAATGGCACTGAAAAAAAGTGACAGCTGTTTTTCCATGATAAAAATTTGGACATTTGGCAACCGGCTCGTACTTATGACGGTCACAGCATCTCAGGGGGCGGGAGGTGTCACGCGATTACTTTTTTTGTGACTTTCTGACAAAGCAAAGTCAAGATTCATTTAACAATTGTGTTGCTTAACAATGGCAGGGATTTGCTTCACAATTGTGGCCAGACAGGTCGTAAAATGGGGCAAAACTCACTTCACAACCGTCCCGCTTAGCAACAGCAATGTGGGGCTCAATTGTGGCCGTATGTTGAGGATTACCTGTACACAAGCCACTCATTGTTGGGGAGGGCCATCAGATTTTCAATCCACTGAGTGAAAAAGCCGTATATTTATTTATTCATTCCGGTGCTGAAGCTTCGATATCTGGCCATACGTCCATCGTTCAAGACAATATTATCCTCTGTGAATTTTAGCTTTGGTTGCACAATCATATTTATACAATCCACTACTTCCTCCTAAACTTTAGACCCTGTCAAAACATGCATTTGAAAAGAGCAAAGGTCTTTAGTACGTCTCTCTTAACGAAAAGACCCAAACTTCAGAAAAGGAGACAGCAGAATGCAGCCGTGTCAGTTTATAACTATTTTCTCTCCTCCCCACCACCAGAAAAATTAAGTGCAAGCCTTCCCTCCATCCAACAATTAAAAACCTCTGCTTTAGCACCATTGTCATCTACAGCAGTCTTTCTCAAACTTGGCAACTTTAAGACGGCTGGACTTCTTCCCAGACTCCCAGAATTCCCCTGCCAGCCACCGGGCAAAACTATCACTGTTAAACCTAGTTTTTTTTGTTTTTTAAAAAAATTTGATTTATATGCCGCCCTTCTCCGGAGACTCAGGGCGGCTTACACTGCGTTAAGCAATAGCCTTCATCCTTTTGTATATTTATACAAAGTCAGCTTATTGCCCCCACAAACTGAGTCCTCAATTTACCTACCTTAGAAAGGATGGAAGGCTGAGTCAACCTTGAGCCTGGTGAGATTCGAACCTGCAGTAATTGCAGGCAGCTGTGTTAATAACAAGGTGCTTTAGACCACTGTACTACCAAGGCCCAGTTTCAATGTCCTTTTCAAAGAATCTCCTTGGTCAAGGATTTGTGCCACTTTAAGACAGCTGGACTGCAACTCCCAGAATTCCCTTCCAGCACGGCTGTCAGAGGAATTCTGGGAGTTAAAGTCCACCTACCTGAAAGCGGCCAACTTTGAAAAAAAGGGAGTTAATAACAGGAGAAGGGGTTCACCTCCGGTGGCTTTAATCCTTCTCCTTGGTCAAGGATTTCTGCCACTTTCAAGATAGATGGACTTCAACTCCCAGAATTGGGAGCATGGCCGGCAGGGGAATTCTGGGAGTTGAAGTCCACCTATCTAAAAGCAGCCAAGTTTGAAAAAGTTAATAGGACTTCACCTCCGATGGCTTTAGTGCCTTTCTCCAAGAGTCTCCTTGCTCAAGGATTTTTGCAAAACCTGGCAAAAAAAAATAATAATAATCCCAATTTCCGAAAGGCATTTGCACAGCAGGAAAAGAAGGGCGGAAAGCTGTAATGAATTTGCAGCAAAGAGAAATCCCAGCATTGTTGGGACAACCTGCTTAGAACAGGTGAGGCAGGAACTTTCCAACCTGCTGACCAGCTTTGCAGCTGCCTCCAAGTTTACAGCAAACAGATTTTGCTGTGTGCAAACGCAACACACCCAGGGCAGGGCAGAGTTGTCCTGCCGGCCTCTTGGATCTGGTATAAAACCCTGCAAACGGCTGGAGGCTGGCTTGCTTTCCTGCAAACCAGCATTGTTTGTTTGAAGGAACATGGCTACCAAGGTGGATGTCGGAATCCGGGGTTTGCCAGGAGCTCCAGATGGGGTCAAGGAACATTTCCAAGCCGTGACTCGGAACTACATCACTCATCCCAGGCTGAGTGAGTGTATTTTGTGGTGTGTGATTGTGAGGGAACAATGCAACGGGGCGAAGGCTCTCATTTTTAGGCTGTGAGAAAGTTTGTTTGCTTGAGTGAGAGAAAAGACCCGGGTTCAAATCGAGGTGGCATTCGCGCATGGTCAGATGTCCCAGCGGCAAGGCTGAAAGCTTGGCTGATTTGCAAGATGGACATTGCTTCCTTGTTTCCCTGATGTGTTTCCTGCCCGTTGGGAATTTCCTAGAGAGGGGGAAGCTGATTATTCCAGAGGTCGGTGGATTATGGGTCTTATTATCTCTGGTGGCTGAGAAGCATGGGCCCTGGAGACTGAAAAAGAATAACAGAGGCGGAGGGGGCCCTTGGAGGTCTTCCAGTCCAGTTGGCAACTTGAAGACTTGCTGGCTGAGGAATTCTGGGAGTTGAAGTCCACAAGTCTTAAGGTTGCCAAGGTTGGAGACCCCTGTTCCAGGACAACTTTTTTCAAAGTTGACTTCAACTCCCACCCAAAAGGTGCCAGGTTTTGAATTACAGCTAGTCCCTGACTTACAACCGTTCCTTTAGTGACCTTTTCAAAGTGACAACGGCCCTGGAAAAAATTGACTTACGATCATGTTTCACGCTTACGACCGTTGCAGCCTCCCCATAGTCAGGTGATCAAAATCCAGACGCTTGGCCACTGGTTCATACTTATGACGGTCGCAGTGTCCCAAGGTCACGCGACCTTCTGACCAGTCAAGTCAACGGGGAAGGCGGATTCACTTAACAATTGTGGTCGTAAGTCGAGGAGTACCTGTATAAATGGGGCATAGTATCTCCCCCTCAGTGGGACCGGAGGGAGTCCCACGTCAAACTGTAGATGACATCGTGACCGGCTGTCAGCTGAAGGAATATATCGGTCCAGTTTCTGATTTATTTTTTTATAGATATTTTTATGCAGCCCTTCACTGGTTAGCTGGCCAAGACGTGGGTATCTGAATACAAGGGGTCCTCGACTTATGACCACAATGGAGCCCGAAATTTCTGTTGCTAAGTGAGACATTCGTTAAGTGAGTTTTGACCCATTTTACCACCTTCCTTGCCACCGTTGTTAAGCGAATCGCTGCCGTTGATAACTTAGACACACTTAGGTCACTAAGTGAGTCTGGCTTTCCCCGTCGACTTGGCTTGTCGGAAGGTCGGGAAAGGGGATCACGTGATCCCGGGACGCTGCGACCGTCATAAATATGACTCAGTTGCCATCCGTCCGAATTTTAATGATGTGTCCACGGGGATGCCGTAACGGTCGTAAGTGTGGGAAATGATCCCAAGTCACTTTTTCCCGTTTTGCCGTTGTAGCTTTGAATGGTCACTAAATGAACCGTTGTAAGTTTGAGGACTCGCTGTATAGATCTTTTTAACATTCATGTTTGACTGTGTATTTAATTTGAGTGCCATGTTACTATGCCTTGGAAGCCCGTGTATGATAAGCCACAGGGTATCAAAATAAACTCCTTGCTAAAATGCCCTCCTGGTTTCCTGAAGCTTCCTTCCTCACGGGATCCCTTACCGTCATCCAGAGATTCCCGTGACCTTGAACGGGTCCCGCAGCCGGGATCGAGCGGCTGAAGCAAGAACCAGCCGGCTGGAGCGACTGCAAAGCCTCCCCGGGTTTTGTTATTAACGGACACATCAGCAAATAGTGGAGTTTCCGACTGGGAGGAAGGATGGCAGGAGGCCCCTCCTTTCCACCTCTCGGCTGCTCAAAGGCACCTCAAATTCTGGGAGTTCTAGTCCCCACAGTTTAAGGCATGCTGGCTGAGGGGTTCTGGGAGTTGTAGTCCTCCCATCTGAAAGCATTTTTGGCTGTGGGATTCTGGGAGTTGAAGTCCCCACAGTTTAAGGCATGGTAGCTGTGGGGTTCTGGGAGTTGTAGTCCTCCCATCTGAAAGCCTGCTGGCTGGGGGATTCTGGGAGTTGCAGTCCCCACAGTTTAAGGAATGGCTGTCTGTCAGACTTTGGGAGCTTTGTAGTCCACCCATCTGAAGGCATGCTGGCTGGGAGATTCTGGGAGTTGCAGTCCACCCATCTGAAAGCCTGCTGGCTGGGGGATTCTGGGAGTTGAAGTCCCCACAGTTTAAGGCATGGTGGCTAGGGGGATTCTGGGAGTTGCAGTCCCCACAGTTTAAGGAATGCTGGCTGGGGGATTCTGGGAGTTGAAGTCAAGTCCACACAATTCAAAGCATGGGCGAATTCCGCAAGTCTTCGTCCCTTCAAGTTGCCAAGTTTGAAAAACACGTCCTCAAACCCTGCCTGCAAATGCGCTGTGACACGCCAGGGTTTGCTTTTTGCAAAACCCTCCCTGTCCGGTCCATCGCTCGGTACCACAACCCCCCCGCCTGCCCCCCTCCTCCTGAGTCACGTGACCCTGCAGGTGTGTCTGGGAACCCTCGGCCGCTGCCCCTAATTAGTGGCCTAGTGCAGCCGCCCGCTGGGCTTTTCACCAGCCCCGCTTGCCTTGGCCGGCCAATGTGTTTGACAAGTGACACATCGCACAATAGGCAGGTTGCCTGGGCAGGCGTGGGGGGTGGGGGCTCGGGGGTGGGGGGCAGGGGGGCCTGGAAAAGCGGGGCCGATAGGGACCATCGGAAAAGTTTGCGATTGTCTGGATGAGCAGAGATTGTGCCGAGGGTTTTTTCCCAAGATTCCTGCAGAGCGTAAACATGGATAATACTTTAGCCTGGATGGTTTGCCATCGTGGTCAACAGGGAATGATGATCTCTATAAGGCTGCAGGTCGTCCTTGACTTACAACAGTTCATTTAGTGACGGTTGAAAAAGTGACGGTGGCACTGAAAAAAAGGGACTTATGGCTGTTTTTCACACTTACGACCGTTACCGCATCCCCGGGGTCACGTGATCAAAATTCAGCCACTTGGCAACTGACCTGTATTTATGACGGGCACTGTGCCCCGGGGCTCCATGGGATCCCCTTGGACGACCTCCGAGTTTTCCGCTGTGCTCTTAAGACCCTGCTCTTCCGTCAGGCAGGGTTAGCTTCATAATTGAGTTTTAAATTCGGAGTTCTTAAATTTTTGGGTTTTTTAGTTAATTGGCCTTAAATGTAATACTTTCAATAATTTTTAAATTTAAATTGTGATATTTGTATTTGTGTTTTTACCTGGCTGTACACCGCCCCGAGTCCTTTGGGAGAGGAGCGGTATAGAAATAAAATTATTCTTATCCTTATCCTTAAGAATCTCAGTGGCTCACTTAACAACTGTGGCAAGAAAGGTTGTAAAATGAGTCAAAACTCACTTAACAACCGTCTCGCTTAGCAATGGAAATGTTGTCGTCGTAAGTCGAAGACTACCTGTATACGGCTCTTCCCTTGTGTGGGGGTTGGACTAGAAGACCTCCGAGGTCCCTTCCAGCCCTAGGACCCTGGGATTCCTCTCTTGAAGGGGACATATTTGCCTGTGGCTATTTGCAATATTTTTGGAAGACAAAAGCCGAGGTCTAAGAAACGTGGAAAGGAAGACACCTGGAATGGAGCATGAACCATTTCTGGTGCTTCTCCATGTTTTCGGTGAGTTCCTAGCAGTGGTGAAATCCAAATTTTTTTACTACCGGTTCTGTGGGTGTGGCATGGTGGGCATGGCAGGGGAAGGATACTGCAAAATCCCCATTCCCTCTCCACTCCTGGGGGAAGGATATTGCAAAATATCCATTCCCATTCCACTCTGGGGCCAGCCAGGGGTGGTATTTGATGGTTCTCCGAACTGCTCAAAGTTTCTGCTACCGGTTCTCCAGAACCTGTCTGAACCTGCTGGATTTCATGATTTCATTGACGGAGGATTTGAAAGAATTTGGAATTCAGGCCGTGCTGGCAAGATGCCATAATCTGGGTGGCATGTCAGCTGGATCTTGAGAATGTGCGACGGGGGACATGTGTTTATTATCTGGAGGCAGAAAAGCTCCGAGGAACTACAATTAGGAGAAATTGGGAAAGGAAAAAAGGATCCCCCCCTCCTTCTGGCTGAGTGGTAGATCTCGCCCCGTTGAGTCATCCTGGGTTCCTTCTACATGCCATGAACATGGCAGAGGTAGAACTGGTTGATATTGGAGACGCCAAGCTGGGTTCCGTTTAAAGAGAAGGCTGGGTTTGAAATACACAGGCAAGGAATCTGTCAGTCATGAGCCCTGGGGACTGCGGATGTACACATTAAAAATCCCTGGAGGTTTTCTGAAAGAGTGGGAAAGTGAAGGAGAGAGAGAAAGAAAGAAAAAGAAAGAAAGAAAGAAAGAAAGAGAAAGAGAAAGAGAAAGAGAAAGAGAAAGAGAAAGAGAAAGAGAAAGAGAAAGAGAAAGGAAGTAAGAGAGGGAAAGAGAAAGAAAGGGAAAGAAAGAGAAAAAAGGAAAGAAACAGAAAGAGAGAAAAAGAGGGAAAGAAAGAGAAAGAAAGAAAACGAGAAAGAGAAAGAGAGAAAGAAGAGAAAGAAAAAGGAAGGGAGAGAGAGAGAGAGAGAGAAAGAAAAAAAGAGGGGGGGAGAGGGAAAGGGGTGTGTGTCTCTTTCAGCCAGAGGAAGATCCTGCCAGGAGCCAAGAATGGACTTTGCAGAGGAGCCCTGGAAGGGCTGTCTGGGAAGTGGGACCCCACCCAACAGATGCGGAGGCCAGGAAGGGAGGGGGCTGGTGGAGGGGAAGCAATTAGTGAGTCGGGGGTCCTCTTTGTCAGATGGGTCAATTTCCTCTGCTCCTCGTCCCCCCTTTCCCTCTCCCTTCACCCCACCAGCGCACACAATGGGCAGGGTTAATTCGGGCTGCGGATGGCAGGAGCGGGTAAATTTGAGGGAGGAGGAGGAGGAGGGGGCCAGGTTCAAAGACCCTCTCTTTCACACACACACACACACACACTTTGCAGAATCCCCTGTCCTCTGTGCCCAAAACCCCTGTCATCCAGGGTTTCCACCGGTGCCTCCACCTGGCCAAAGGACCCCTCCCCCGACCACCCACTTAGTGACATGT